CCCCGCGCCTCCGCACAAACAGAAATCATCAAAAAATGGCTACGACGGCTGCTTCTTCACTTTGCTACACAGCTCCACTCCCCAGGACAAACCTCTTAAACCAATTCCCAGTCTACGCCACCGGAGCGTGGCTCACACCGCGCGCGATTCCGTCAATTAAACTCAAATCGAGACCCTCGTCGTCTTCAGTTGCGGCGTCTGCAGCCACCAGCGCCGTCGAATCGGAGCCGCAAACCGCCGCCGCCTCTCCGGCGAAGGTTCTGCCCTTCCGCGTCGGGCACGGGTTCGATCTGCACCGGCTGGAGCCAGGATATCCTCTCATCATTGGCGGTATAAACATTCCTCACGACCGAGGCTGCGAAGCTCACTCCGATGGTAATCACGTTTTGCCCTAAATCGGAAATTGAAACTCTGAATTTTTCAATTTGATTTTCATAGTTAAAATTACAATTTATGTTTGACAGTCGCTCAAAATTTTAAATTGATGCTGAACAATGAACATTGAAAATTAGATCTTAATAGATCTTTATATATATATATTCATTTTGATTTATATATGGCAGGAAATTGATAATTGAGGAATATATGTATGTTCATCTCTCTCGTTACAGGTGATGTGTTGCTACACTGTGTGGTCGACGCGATATTAGGGGCACTAGGGCTTCCGGATATCGGACAGATTTTTCCTGACACGGATCCTAAATGGAAAGGCGCAGCGTCTTCGGTTTTCATTGAGGAAGCAGTGAGTGTTCGTTCCTCTCGTTTCTTTTATGCTTAATGCATATTTTGCAGTAATATCTTTTTCATAGTGATTAATTGTCTTCTAATAGTGGATATCGTCTGTTTTTCGATTTTGACTGATTGTAGTCAACACTAATAAACTATCAGTGGAGTAGTAAAAGAAAAAAAAATCTAATCTGAATGAATGAACTTCCTAAAGTGTCGTTTTTAGAGTGAGAAAAGCGACTTTAGTTCAATAGAGAATCGGCTAAAAACAGAGAAAACAAAATTACGAGTCTGTTGTAAAACGGCAGGGCAAATAAGAAACATCTTTGTAGTTACCGTTTTATTTAAAAAACGGGAATTGCCCTACCATTTTACACTAGATGGGTAATTTTTTTTTCCTTTATGCAATATTTTGACAATTTGTTTCTACTTTTTAGCCATATTTAGTCAATTTAATGCAGTAAATTTTTCCATACTAAAACGAATTCAAATTATCCAATCACTTTTGTCTGTTTGGAGAAGAAGACGAATAGAATAAAGAGCTCTGTTAAATGGGCCGTCGCTACTTTTCCTCTCGATTCGTATTGCCATAATCTCAGTACTCTCGACATTATTGATCCCATAAGTATGATTTCCTGGCCCACTGGTATTCACATGCAAATTGGATTTATGGTCTGATAACCAATAGATATACCTTAAACATTCGACTACTACTTATCTGCCTTGATTTTGAATTCGGACTAGGGTTAATAGACAATATAATAAAACTCCGTCAAATGTTTGCGGTTTAAACTTGATTTTTTCAAGCATATAAACAAAATTTAGTCCATAATCGATAGAAATATCGCGGCTTTCTGATGTTTTAGTGACGGGATTTTAAGTGTGACTAGTTTATTATTCTAAATTCTAATTACTCTTGTAATATGGTACGTATTATCAGGTTCGTCTAATGCACGAGGCAGGTTATGAGCTCGGAAATTTAGATGCTACGTTGATTCTCCAAAGACCGAAGGTCAGCCCTCACAAAGAAGTTATTAGGTCAAATTTATGCAAGCTGCTCGGTGCAGATCCTTCGGTCGTAAACCTAAAAGCGAAAACTCATGAGAAAGTTGATAGTCTCGGGGAGAATAGGAGTATAGCTGCACACACAGTCGTTCTCCTTATGAAGAAGTAGTATACGCATTCGGTTTTAATTATTCAAGTGTAATAGTTTGTTGTATGTACATTATACAAATGGTTCTTACAGATTCAATCTCTTAATACTTAGCTCTGAAAGCTGATTAATGAGTATATATATGCAAGCAAGATATAGTTATTCATCGTCTGTACTTCGGAGATTGAATTATATACTCGTTATAAGTTTTTATGTGTTCTTGTTTTCATTGTTTTAGGGATTGGATTTTCATTTTATGGCTCGGAGATCATTCTTTTTTCTGTGTTACGATTAGAGTTGGAAATCAGAATAATCAGATCATAATATTAGAGTTGGGTTTTCGGAAGTGAAAAAATTATTCTAATTTGCATTCGTAAGAATTTGCAAAGTTTGGAATTTTCGAATATTACGTTATTTCTATATTTTGGGATATTTTTTTTTTTTTAATTCAGCTAAATTTTGTAGGGTGTTTAAGAGCTTATAAGCTCTGTCAGAGTGTTTCGTATTTTTTTTAAGGGCAAATTACGGCCACCCCTGAGGTATGACTAAATTACAAAAAACCCGTTCTTGTTTCGGTAATTACAGCTGGCCCCTCCTCATTTTAAATATTTTTACATAAAAATTATGTAATTCGGTTATTTACCGAACCAAATCGTATATTCAGTTCGGTAAACGGTATGAAATGTTGGCGTACCGAAATTTCGGTTCGATTTACCGATTTAACATCCCTAAATTTACCTTTAGAGGGTTTTTTTCGTAACATAATACATAGCTGAGGGGTTGCTGTAATTACTCAAACAGGAGGGGGGTTTGTAATTTGACCATAACTCAAGGGTATCGCCGTAATTTGTTTAATGATCCCAAGGAAAAAATATTTAAAAAAAGAAAAGAAATTACATTTACCCCACCTATTTAAGATATTATAAGGATTAAACATAGTTTATAAGCTCATATCCAAACAATTTAAAAATTACTTTTAAAAATTAAGACGTAACAACTTATCAAATTTTAAAATAACTTATCAGACGTAAGAGTTTATCAATTATATAAAATAAGAGAAGCCAAACTGGCTCTTAAAACACCTTATCGGATATGTGGTGTTATCAGTTATTTATAATAACGTCCAAACGGGCCTAAATTATCACATGAAATATTGCTAATTTTATTTGGCAAATGGATTTTATTTAATATTTCCAAATAGGATTTCGGAAATATAAGAAATACTGAACAGTGACTAATGAAATCTACAGGAAAGAACGAATAGCGCTTCTGTTTCGGACAAAGAAGATCACGACCACAAAACTTTGAGACAATTGAATTGACCAAAACTTTTGACGACTACTCAAAGTCAAAGAGGAAAGTCAAATGTTTTTTTTCGTGCACAAATTAAATATGGGTTGCGATTAACATTATAACAACTGTGATAGCTATTCAATGCACCACGAGGGTTAAATTACTACCACATTTTTATTGTTTTTACAAATTGTAATTAAATAAAAAAGAAAAAAGGAATTTCGAAAATGCATATAAACCTAACATTAGCTGTTTAGCCATCACGTGCATGGTTTATGACTTGGATGTATACACTATAATTTATTCATCAAATTAATTATTAAAGAAACTCAATTCTATAGTATGATTTAGTTTAAGGGTAAATTACGGGCGCTTTTGAAAGTAAAATCAAATTACGAAAAAAACACATTCTCTTAGAGTAATAATAATCAGTCCACCTTATACTGTGAATTTTTTTACATTTTTTATCTTTATGGTGTCAAATTTAACTGAATCTTCTGGATTTCGTGGAATGTTCTCTAATTTGTACTCGTTTTGTTCAAAAAACCAGCCTTCCACAATCTAATCATTTACAAGACAAGAGTAAAACAGATACAAACTTGTAGTTTGTACTCTCGTCTTATGATCATCTTGTTTTAAAATATGGAGCTTGAATACAGTAAAACGGATACAAACTGGAAAATATTGCACATAATCTAGAAGATTCAACTATATTTGATATCGCAAGTGTGGCGCGTGTAAGAAGATTCGTAGTTGAAGGAGGTGGTTGTAATTACTCAAACATGAGGAGTTTTTTTTTATATAATTTTACCTTACCTCAGAAGGTTAGACGTAATTTATGATTTTTTTTAATGCAAATACAATTTGGAATAAGAACAATTAATTTTGTATCAATCAATTGATATTGTATTTTTTGTAGTGAATCATAATGTTTTTTCAGATATGTATAATCGTGAAACATAATTTTTATGTCATTTTCAGTTATTTACAAATTTGAATTTTCCACTTGGCTTTATAGGGACAGAATCTAAGGAGATTTATTCTAATAAAAATTCGATTACTTGTATTATTTGAATTAGACTAGATAATGTTTGCAGACAAAATATTCTATTTTTCCACATACAAAAGTATTTGTAAGTGAATTAAGTACCATAAAAATAAAAGAAAAAAAAAACCGACCTATAATTTACTTTGTTGGAAAATAAGATGTATCAGCTTATCAGTCCTTAAAATAATTTATTAGAAGTACAAACTTATCAGCCGTTTAAAATAAGTTTAATCAAACAAACCTTTAATCAACTTTCAATATCTTCATTATGTATTATATTGGTTGAAATAATATTTTACACATTTAAAACATTTAAAGAACATATACTTGACAAACAAAGCTATCCGACGAAATTTGACCATATTATTGAACACTTGGGTCAAAATTTCACCAAATAACAATTTTATTCCCAGTACAATGGTCTTGTTCGGGTAACTATCTTATATTCCAATTAATTTAGATATAGATGATATCGAATAGATTATCTACTGATTAATTGATTAATTATTTAGTTAATAAGATGGTTCGATTTTTTTATGTTATATCTTATATTAATAAATTATAGTATTACATGTGATTTGTCTATAAAACCTCTTACACCTAACAAAACTCAGATGTAGTTTAAGAATAATTTATTTTATATAGTCATCCCGTATAAAATTAGTCTCAGTCAAAGGTAAGGGTGCGACTAATTTAACGAAAGAGTATATATTTGATTGTGAACTATAACTATGCATTGCAGTGAGTTTGAGTAGATACAAAATTTGTCAACCGTACGTCTTACTAGCCCCATGATTTAGTTACTAAAACAAAATACTAGTAACCGATGCCTTAAATTCTTGAATATTATGATTAATGCTAAGTCGACTCCATCCGATTGAAAATTTTAGAGTGAAGTCCAGATCAATTTTCATAGTATAGCAATAAACCAAAAAATAAATGTTTTATTTCCCGATTTCACGATCTATAATCGTGGAGGGAGGTTTTGAGTTCGATTTCGGTTATGTGGGTATTTATTGACTTAAGACCATCATATAACATTGAACTGAAAAAAAAAATATAAGGTTGAATTAAAAAAAAAAAAAGGTTGACAATTTTGATTTTGGTCGTAGACACTACATAATTGGTCTTGTTGTATCACTATCTAATGACTCAAAATAGAGTTGCCTCTGAAAATCTTGAGATGCAAAACATTTATGCAAGAATTGAAATTTCTAGGCTTGCTCCCCCATTGACTAAAATATTTTGACCAAAAAAACAATACAAAAATCCAATTGATGTAAGAATTTAGACAATTATTGAGTTATGTATTATACTACATTGTAGAGAGACCATCATATTTGTATGATTTGGTGTTACACCTCGTTCGATTTTATATACTGGATTAATTTGGACTAGATCGAATTTAATTAACAATCGATTGCTTAACTAATTATCTGGTTACTAAAATGTTTGGTGGCTTATATTATATTTAGTATCTAAATTATTAAAATGTGACATTGAATATCATTTATCAATAACATTCTAATTTAACAAAATTACATCCCAATATGCATAATTTAGCTACTACCCGCAAAATTAATTGAAGGGGAGAAATGAAAAATATTAATTTTGTTGAATAATAACATTTAATTGCAGACTTCGTTTTTTATAGTAGACTTGAATTAATCTGAATCTTGTGAACTAAATATATTATTAACTCACGCATACTATTTAGTCTCGAACATCGCCTTAGACTAACTAAAAAAAGAAAAAAAGAAAAAAAAAAGAAAAAAAGAATTGGACACAAGATTCTAATCTTAGTTCCAAATCTAAGTTTGTAACAACCAAAGAATATTACTAAGTCATGATCCATAATTTCAAACATTTACATGTAGTTGTTAGTACAAGAATGTCTCAAGCATGCAAGTTTTATATATGCAACTATTATATATGAAAATGAGAGTGTTGAATGTTCTGAATTTTTGATCATATAATTCAAGAACTCACTAGGAAAATTATTGCAGCATTCACATTGTCTAGAAAAATACCTAATTTACAAGAAATTGCTGCCCAAAATCATTAAAATTGGACAGCAATTTCACAAATAAGGAAAGTTTAACCTAAACAAACCACAAATTTAAATCCACCAAAAAAGGGAAAAATAATTAAATTTTATTTCTTCGTTTATCGATAACCCTATAACCGGCCTAGCGTTTATAGGCAATTATTAGCCGAATAATTGCAATTAACTTTCAAGCAAAACATTATTATTGGAAAATGTCACACTAATGAGGTGGTCCTTTTAACAAATCTTGATATAATTATTTTTATATTATCCATTAATTTCAAAGAAAAACACTGTTGAAAATATTACATGGAAAACATAGTACATGTGATCAAAATCTGGTTTAGGACTTGTGTTCAAAGCCGCCTACCAAGATTCAAAATTATTTATTTTTTTCAAAAAAAGAATTCAGTTTTAATTTTGTAATTATTATTATTATTATTTTATTTAAGGAGGAGATAATTGTTTGTGATGTGTCCTTCATAGGAAACTTCACTTACTCTGAATATTGATATTATTTTTAAAAAGAATCCCACTACTATAAATACAGATGTCCTAAACCATAACATAGTACTCAAATTAACATCTTTCATTACAATTCAATAGCAACTACTTACACATAGTTTCATAACTAATTTCTTTTGTTCTTTCATTCTTTTATTCATTATTATTTAATTCATTTATATAGTTCTTTTTCGATTTAGTGGTATTCGAATTCTCTTTTTTTTCCGGAACAAGAAAATGGAATATACTTTGTCGAAAATTGCGACGAACGACGGACATGGCGAAAACTCTGCTTTCTTCGACGGGTGGAAAGCGTACGACAGTGATCCTTATCACCCCACCAAGAATCCCAATGGTGTTATTCAGATGGGATTAGCAGAAAACCAGGTAATTAACATTAAAAATAAATAATTAAATAAAAATGGAAACACTAATATAATGCTTATGAACATATACATAAATAATTTATTTTTATAATTTCTTTCGTGCAGCTTTCATTCGATTTAGTGCAAGAATGGGTGAAGAAAAACCCGAAGGCCTCAATTTGCACGAATGAAGGAGTGGACGATTTCAAGGAAATCGCGATTTTTCAAGATTATCATGGCTTGCCGGAATTCAGAAATGTACTAATATTATTATTTAGTATATACATCTTCAAATATACATAATTTCAAGATTTATTATAATTATTATTTTTAGAATATTATACCTAATTATATTTGATTAAAATGATTTGCAGGCAGTTGCAAGATTCATGGAGAGAGTGAGGGGAAACAGAGTCCGGTTCGACCCGAACCGGATTGTGATGAGTGGCGGTGCAACCGGAGCTCAAGAAACATTGGCCTTCTGCTTGGCTGATTCCGGTGATGCACTTTTGGTGCCAACTCCATATTATCCAGGGTAAGAATTTCTAAAATTAAAAAAATTAAAAAAAAATTAAAAAAAAAATCTCTTCATTCTAATTTTGGATGCTTATTGGCAATATAGTCAATACAAAAATTCTTACTTATTTGTTTATAATAATTTAATTATACATTGGTGGGGCTTGAAAAATAACTTTGTAACCACTACTTACTACTTTTGTAATAAACTAAGACTTACGGTTCAACTTCTCACATATATGACAAATGCCCCTTAACTTTATGAGTGAACCACTATTTAGTCCTTTTGTGATAAACTAAAACCCCATCCCAACTTCTCCCACATATATGACAAACAACAAATATACTGCCACGTCACGGGATATGCTCCCGTCGTTTTTTTTTTATAAATTAATAGAGATTTATTATTTTTCGAACAGTTTATTAGTAAAGACAATATTCGGGATACGCAATCGAACTTCATTAGAGGACATGAATTAGTCAACCATCAATTTCAGCCTATAGAATTATCATTTTCAGTGTCCCCAAGCATCTTTTCTTTTAATTAAACATCAAATAATCCAAATTATGTCAATTTTGTCTCTTTCCTAACACCTTACATAGTTACATTACACACCTAGATGTAAAAGCAAATAGTAATTTTGGTGACTTGTCAATATTTAATCTGCTTACATACACTTGTAAATAAAATAAATTTTTTTTTTTATAGTATTATAACAAGTGACTTATTCCGTATTCATCGTGCAGGAACGACCGAGATCTGACGTGGCGAACCGGAATACAACTTCTCCCGGTCGTATGTGAGAGCTCCACCGGTTTCAAGATCACCCGCGAAGCCCTAGAGACCGCGTACAAAAAAGCTCAAGACTCGAACATCAAAGTGAAGGGCCTACTCCTCAACAATCCATCGAATCCACTAGGCACAACGATCGACAAACAAACCCTAACCGAATCACTAACCTTCACCAACGAGAAACAAATCCACTTGATATGCGACGAAATCTACTCCGCCACAGTCTTCGACCAACCAGGTTTCACCAGCATTGCCGAAATATTCGAGGAAAACCCTAAAAGTTACAACCCTAACCTAATCCACATAGTCTACAGTCTCTCCAAGGACCTAGGGTTTCCCGGTTTCCGTGTCGGCATCATATACTCGTACAACGACACCGTCACTAATTGCGCGCGTAAAATGTCGAGCTTCGGACTAGTCTCCACCCAGACACAACACCTAATAGCCTCCATGCTCTCGGACGACGATTTCGTGGACCGCTTCATCATAGTCAATTAATAAACCTCGTCTTACTCATCTTTTTGGACGACGATTTTGTATTTTTTTGCAGTTTTGATTTGTTATTTTTAGTAGCAGACTTTTAATCGACTATGCTTCATCATAGTCAATTAATAAACCTGATATTAAAAAAAAATTAAAGAAAAAAAAAATTTAAAAATAAAGAATTTCCTTAATCGACTATGAAGCACAGTCGATTTAAGACTAATCGACTATGTTTCATAGTCGATTAAAAAAAACGGAAAAAAGAAAAAAAAATTCGCGGAGCGCGTGATCCAGTGATGAGGTGGCGGGCGGGGGTAAAGCTGGAAAACATAATGGCTGAAATTGGAACATGGGCTTTTCTCAAATGGTCTAAAATATTTTGGGCCTATCCCCATTAAAAAAAATAATGGGGGGGTGATGAGGCCCATTTGGACCCCTCAAGTATTTTTGTATATTTGTGTATATTTGTATGTATATCTATGCTTGTGTGTGTAGGAGGTGTGGGTGTTTTTCACCCCCCTTCTCTCTGTCTTGGCCTCCTTCTCTTATAGCCACTTCCTTCCTCTTATCCTCCTTTCTCTGCCTTTAAGTGCGTGCCATGGAGATAAGGAGAGAGATGGGCCAGGAAGTTAATGGGCTGGTGGATTAACGGGCTTGAGAGAGAGAATAGGGGCCGATTGATGGGCTTTTATATATGGGCTTTGGGTTCCTATATAATTTGGGCCCAGTGCAAATTAGTCCAGATCATCTACTCCCCCCAGTTCGTCATGAGGAGTGCGGAGTAACTAGTCGTGGCGAACTACTCTCTCGAGATGCTTTGACGAGGTGAAGAAATCGAACCAATCTACTCCCCCCAATTCGTCGGAAGAGGCGCGAAATAATTAGTCACCTCGAGTTTGGTTTTTTTTTTTTTTTTTTTTCTTTTTGGAACGAGATGTCATTCTTCGCTCTATGAACAAATTACCGGCTACTTTAGTTCTTTCTTAATGCCATGTTTTTCTTTTCACTATGTATTTTACGACGTACCCTTCTTTTTCGGATGCGAGATACCTCGTCATACTCAGGATGCAAGATACCTCGTCTTACTTCGGATGCGAGATACCTCATCTTACATTGGATGCGAGATACCTCGTCTTACTCAGGATGCGAGATACCTCGTCTTACTTCGGATGCGGGATACATCGTCTTACTATGGATGCGAGGTACCTCGTCTTACTAAGGATGCGAGATACCTCGTCTTACTCAGGATGCGAGATACCTCGTCTTACTCATCTTTCGGATGCGAGATACCTCGTCTTACTTCGGATGCGAGATATCTCGTCTTACTCAGGATGCGAGATACCTCGTCTTACTCATCTTTCGGATGCGAGATACCTCGTCTTACTCAGGATGCGAGATACCTCGTCTTACTTTGGATGCGAGATACCTCGTCACATTCAGGATGCGAGATACCTCGTCTTACTTCGGATGCGAGATACCTCGTCTTACTCAGGATGCGAGATACCTCGTCTTACTCATCTTTCGGATGCGAGATATCTCGTCTTACTCAGGATGCGAGATACCTCGTCTTACTTCGGATGCGAGATACCTCGTCTTACTCATATTTCGGATGCGAGATACCTCGTCTTACTCAGGATGCGAGATACCTCGTCTTACTTTGGATGCGAGATACCTCGTCACACTCAGGATGCGAGATACCTCGTCTTACTTCGGATGCGAAATACCTCGTCTTACTTCGGATGCGAGATACCTCGTCTTACTCAGGATGCGAGATACCTCGTCTTACTCATCTTTCGGATGCGAGATTACTCATCTTTCGGATGCGAGATACCTCGTCTTACCCAGTATGCGAGATACCTCGTCTTACTTCGGATGCGAGATACCTCGTCTTACTCAGGATGCGAGATACCTCGTCTTACTCCTCTTTTGCGCGGGGTCGATTACGGCCCCGTCGCGCGGGGTCGATTACGGCCCCGTCTTTTCGGTAGCCTATGAACCATTAATAAACAAATAACTATACATATATTTACGTATACAGAAAAGCTGTTGATCTGTACTTTACCCACACACACATAATCATCAATAGAGAAAGAAAGAGAGTTAGAGATATGATATATACAATTTTCATCTGCACAACTCGCGTTGGTGGGGCTGCTGAGCTGCCTAACGCCGATGCCCGAGAAGGAGTACCGTGCTTCTCGCTCTTCTACTTATTGGAGGAAACCCCAAAATCAAACCAACGCACGTCTATAACTCAAACGTTCCCACAGACGGCGCCATTTGATGAGGCCCATTTGGACCCCTCAAGTATTTTTGTATATTTGTGTATATTTGTATGTATATCTATGCTTGTGTGTGTAGGAGGTGTGGGTGTTTTTCACCCCCCTTCTCTCTGTCTTGGCCTCCTTCTCTTATAGCCACTTCCTTCCTCTTATCCTCCTTTCTCTGACTTGAAGTGCGTGCCATGGAGATAAGGAGAGAGATGGGCCAGGAAGTTAATGGGCCGGTGGATTGACGGGCTTGAGAGAGAATAGGGGCTGATTGATGGGCTTTTATATATGGGCTTTGAGTTCCTATATAATTTGGGCCCAGTGCAAATTAGTCAACATCAGGGGGTTATGTCAAAGAGCCCCTTAAGATATTACGATTAAAAATAGTTTATAAGCTTATTATCCAAACAATTTAAAAATTAATTCTAAAAATAAAACGTAACCTTATCAGCTCTTAAAACAGCTTATAAGACGTAAGAGTTTATCAATTGTATAAAATAAGTTTAGCCGAACGGGCCCTAAATTATCACTTGATACATTGCTAATTTTTAATTGGCAAATGGATTTTATTTAATATTTCCAAATACGGAAATAAGAAATACTGAACAGCGACTAATGAAATCTACAGGAAAGAACGAATAGCGCTTCTGTTTCGGACAAATAAGATCACGACCACAAAACTTGAGACAATTGAATTGACCAAAACTTTTGACTACTACTCAAAGTCAAAGAGGAACGTCAAATGTTTTTTTTCGTGCACATATTAAATATGGGTTGCGATTAACATTATAAACTGTGAGAGCTATTCAATGCACCACGAGGGTTAAATTACTACCACATTATTATTTTTTTTACAAATTCTAATCAAGAAAAAAAAAACGAATTTCGAAAATGCATATAAACCTAACATTAGCTGTTTAGCCATCACGTGCATGGATTATGACTTGGATATATACACTATAATTTATTCATCAAATTAATTATTAAAGAAACTCAATTCTAAAATCTTTTAGGTAATATGATTTATTTTAAGGGTAAATTATGGCCCATCCAGGGGTAAGATCAAATTACGAAAAAAATTCTCATGTTTGGTAATTACAACCAGCTCCTTAAATTTAACTGAATCTTCTAGATTTCGAGCAAAAATGCAGCTTTTTATGCACCACAATCTGATTATTTACAAGACAAGAGACATGTCTTATGATTATCTTGTTTCAAAATGTGGAATTGGAATGGGGTAAAACGGAAACAAACTGGAAAATATCGTACATAATCTAGAAGATTCAACTAAATTTGACACTGCAAATGTGGACGTGTAAGAAAATTCATAATTGAAGAAGGTAATTGTAATTACTCAAACTTGAGGGGTTTTTTTTTTTTTTTTTTTTTTAATAATTTGACCGTACCTTCTACTCAGAACGGTGGCCATAATTTATGAATTTTTTAATGCAAATACAATTTGGAATAAGAACAAATAATTTTGTATCAATCAATATCATTGATATTGTATTTTTGTAGTTGATTATAATGTTTTTTTTAATATGTATAATCGTGAAACATAATTTTTATGTCATATTCAGTTATTTACAAATTTGAATTTTCCACTTGGCTTTATAGGGACAGAATCTAAGGAGATTTATTCTAAAAATTCGATTACTTGTATTATTTGAATTAGACTAGATAATGTTTGCAGACAAAATATTCTATTTTTCCATGTACAAAAGTATTTGGCTTAATTCCCCTTTGCACCCTTGAAATATACCATTTTGGCACTTTGCACCCTCGAAATAAATTAATAGCACTTTGCACCCTCGAAATACAATAAATCATGCATAATGCACCCCAAATGATTTTTTAAAGCTAAAAAATATAAATTTAATATTTGTAGTGATATTTTTTTAGGATGCCAAATGTCAAATATTTTTTTTATTCATCAATCATTTTGAAACTATAAAGTTCAAAAATAAAAATACATTCCATCAACATATTTAAAAACTATATTGTTTTATCAAAATAAAATATTTTACGAAAAAAAATCATTCAGCTATTACGTTATCAAGTTATCTGAAAATTATTTTTTCTTCCAAATATTTTCACTTAATACTTTACAAACAGTGACATAAAAGATCCACAATCGAATAATTTAGTGATAAAAGATTATTTTTTTTATTTTTCTTTTGTAAGATAATGTAGTTTTTTTTTTAAATAATCCGGTGTAATTTTTATTTTTTCGCACTTTGTCCGCTCGAAATTAGGTTTGAGGTTCAAGAAAACAACAATTTTTTTTTTTTATTTTGTACCCCAAAAAGAAAAACACCAATGAAAAATAAAATTGCCTTTATTATTCAATTGAGGGTGCATTGTGAATGATTTATTGTGTTTTGAGGGTGCAAAGTGCTATTATTATTTTTCCAGGGTGCAAAGTGCCAAAATGGTATATTTCAAGGGTGCAAAGTGGAATTAAGCCAAAGTATTTGTAAGTGAATTAAGTACGATAAAAAGAAAAGAAAAAAAATCGACCTATAATTTATTTTGTTGGAAAATAAGATGTATCAGCTTATCAGCTCTTAAAATAATTTATCAGAAGTACGAATTTATCAACTTATCAAGCTTTTAATATCTTCACTATGTATTATATTGGTTGAATTAATATTTTACACATTTAAAACATTTAAAGAACATATACTTGACAAACAAAGCTATCCGACGAAATTTGACCATATTATTGAAAACTTGGGTCAAAATTTCACCAAATAACAATTTTATTCCCAACACCATGGTCTCGTTC